CAGATGACCTCCATCTCACACATTAGAATCACGTGACCTTGAGTATCATTGACATGACAGAATTTCTTTACAAAGAGGTGCCCTACAGTAATTTATCTAATCTCTACGACTATAACTCTAAACCCCACGAGTGTAGAACTAAGAAGATGTACAGTAAGTCCTCCCATGGTTCCTCGGGCTGCAGTTTCGCCCGCTGAGAATTCTGGGATTGTCGACATTTGTCCGCAGTCGTCACGGCAACAGTTGTTACGGCAACAGTTGTCACGGCAACGTGAGAAGCAACATTTTGGCACATAATCAGGCAGTCCGTCCATCTGCTTCTGCTGATTCTCCAGTCATTAAACATGTCTTCATTAATATGATTGTCTGGTGCATACATAGGAGCAGTCCCCGGCCTGGCTTGTTGGCTGGATTTTCAGGATTCTCCAGTTTAAAAATGTTGTTAGAGCCTCTGTCAAAGGCAGTTAGGATGTGGGTAGCTCTGACTGGTAGGTAACTCATGGTTTGTCAGGATTCTCCGGTTCAGAAATGTTGGCAGCCTCCATCAGAGATGTGTTTGTGTCAGATGTGAAGGTCAGTTGTGATGCAGCTGACGGTGACTGTGAGTTCTGATTGGTCAGTTGTCATGCAGCTGATGGTGACTGTGGGTTGTGATTGGTCAGTTGTGATGCTGATGGTGACTGTGGGTTGTGATTGGTCAGTTGTGATGCAGCGGATGATGACTGGGCTGTGATTGGTCAGTTGTGATGCTGATGATGGTGGCTGTGGCTTGTGATTGGTCAGTTGTGATGCTGATGATGACTGTGTGTGGAGGCGTCCAGTGCCATCGCCATGGTTACGGGGGGAGAGGGGGAGACCTTGGGGGCGTAGGGGGGCTGCAGGCCGGGGCTCTGGTCGGGGGTGGGGAGAGTCCCCAGGGTGGGGCTCGGGTTCATCATCATGGAGGGGTGGGAGGTCTGCGTCAGAGCCGCCTGATTGGTCGAGTGGTTGCCATAGTGATTGCTGCGGGTC